ATTTATGGTACTGTTCACTTAACGAAAAATTACATTTTTACACTAAAAAGTTAATCATGGTATATTTTATCATTTATTTTATACTTATCGTTAAAACTTAAAACTCAAAGTTTTCAAGCCATTTTCATTAGTTTTTCTTTTGTTTTTTGTAGTTGGATAATATACCTTGAGTATGTGTGTCGATTTAGTCCCAATAGTTGTACAAAATATCAAACTTGATGAATATAAAGGTTGGAGTAAAATCCGATTCCGAGATCGTAGGAAGATAGCGGTTGATGGGAAAGGTAATAGATACGTGTTCTTTGGCGCATTTGCTTTCCAACTTATTAATGATGTTAAAGCTATTAGCATGGAATGTGAGAGTGAGTCCCTTGCCAATGACTTAAAAAGAATTCATGCCTTTGATGTTTTGGTTCTTTCTGGATCTAGAATTAGTGTAAACAAAGCTTTGGACGTTGTCAAAGACTATGGACTTTTTTTATAGCTTCATAGTTGATGTAGTATGTTTTTTTCTGGGAGTTTTTTTTATTCTCTGGAACCAGCTGCGATTGATTTATGCATTGTTGATTGCACCAATCAATTCTCATAAGATTGTGGTCTCATAATCATTGTATATAACTCGATGACTAAGTTAGGGTTACATTATCAAACTATCCTAATTATTTATTACCGTTAGATCATCGTTTTTTTTTAGCCACATTAAAGTAACAAATTATTTATTACCGTTAGATCATCGTTTTTTGTAGCCACATTAAAGTAACAAATTTGAACTTGGGACCGGACAAATAGACCAGGTGCCCAAAACTAGTATCCATCGGGTTATAGGGTGGAAAATGTGTGAATATGTGTAGGTCAAGCTCATTGAATTGGGGTTTTGATTGGAAATAGTCGCCGACATATTTTGGAAGTCCTTTCTATTCCTAGTGGGATTCAGGAGTCCTCCAAAATTTCCACTTTTCATTGGCACATCAAAGGGAGAGATGATAAAAAATGGCTCTAGTGTGCGGTTTACACTTGAATCGGAACCAACCCAAACTGCACCTTGTTTCATATTTAGTGTGTCGAAAATATGATCTGGTACAACTATTTGTATTATCACACTTGGTGTGCTAGACTCTATTTCTGACACACTGAAAAATCTCTCCCAGCTTAGACCTATATAGTATAAAATAAGACGTGTTATTCCTTTTGCCACTCAGTGCTACAATATGGTGGTATTCCTCTTTACTTGGAAGTAAGAGGTCTTAGGTTCGAATCTCGTGGATGGCGAATTCGATACTAAATTTGTTTAATGTTATGCATTATATCATCTTCAACCCTTGGCTTAAAACCCAACATTTTTAGCCCAGAAAATTTAGGTTTTAACCCAAAAATAATTTTTCTCCTCCAATCCTTATGGATTAAATTTTTAGCCTGAGAGTATTAAAGAATGAATTTAGGATATTTTTTTTCTTCTTAAAGTAATTTAAAAAAAAAATTTATGTAGACTATTCTAATTTAATTTTATGAAAATTTTAATGAAAAATATTCGGATTCCGATAAATATATTGAAAAATCTCTAAACCGACACTATGAAACTTGTGGAACATTATGAATATGAAACACATAAAATAATTTTTTTTTAATTACTTTAGCCTTTGGATTTAAATTTGGACCGTTAGATCTTTTTTTTTTACTGTTGGATTTGATCATATTAGATCTTAGTCATTGGATTCAATGAATTTATAAATATAAAACTGAAAAAAAATACACATAAATGGTGGGCCAGCTCCACTAATTCAGGGGGAATCTTGGTCTAATTTTGCCCCAAAAATGAGTTTTGGGTTAAAACTCATGTTTGCCCTAAGACCATCTCCAATGGTGACCTAAAACCTAAAAATATTTAGCCTAGAAAATTTAGGTTTTAGCCTAGAAACAGCTTTTCTACTCCAATCCTTGTGGCTTAAAATTTTAGCCCCAGATTATCAAAGAATAAATTAAGGCTATTTTTTTTAAATTAACTTTTTAAAAAAAAAAAATTTATGTAGACTATCCTAAATTAATTTTATGAACATTTTAACCGAAAAATATTTAAATTCCGATAAATTTTGAAAAATCACTAAATCAATACATGAAAATCAAGATAAACCACATAAACTTAATACCAACGACATTTAATAAACCACATAAATTTAAAAAATAAAAAAGACAAAAATAAAAATAAAAACAATGAATAAACTACATAAACTTAATACAATCGAAAACTCATAGACTACATAAACTTAATAATGATATTCACCATCTTGACTTGGTGATGGACTTGGGTGATAGTCTTGAGATGAATCATCATCTTGAAATATACTCCTTATGGCATTCCTTCGTAAAATTTCATTTTGCTTACCACGTAAGTATCTCTTCCTCTTTGGAGTGTATTTGTCGAGGTCCTCCATTATCAAATTAGTTTCGAACCTTTCTTGCTCCCTATCCCCTTCTTCCTTCATGGCCAAAAGCATTTGGGCCGATTCTTCTTGCCGACGGGACTGGATTTCGTTCATTATTGCCATTACGCTAGCAAATTGTGCACGTGTCGAATCTTGGGACTTCCCTTTTCTCTTTGCTTCCTTTTGCTTATCTCTACCCGGGGGCCTTGCAAAAGAAGAAGTTGGGGTCATTTGTTCGACACCTTCATTGTCGGCAAAATTCACACCTTCATTGACATCATTTGGGGGTGGGGCTTCATTATGAAATAATCTTCCACATTGTTGGTTCGCATCAGTTCCCCACCTCGGACAATCCTTGAGGATGTTCCAAGCATGATGCAAATTAAAAGCTTGATTTTTTGGTGTAGTTCTTGTCTTGTAAATTGACATTGCTTTGTCATCCTATGCAACAAATATATAAAAACAATTAGTTGCAAAATACTATTATGTACATGACAACTAAAATATCAACAAATAAACTCACAATTTCTGAGGCGCCCCCTTCTACTAGCCATGTCAACCATGGCTCTCTCTAAGCTTCCTTTCCACAAAGTGCACGCTTTGTTGATAATCTTCCACCGATCATAAACACCACCAACTTCCCTTCGACCGGCGTTGGAGTTTTCATGGAACTTATCAACGATTTTACCCCATAAAACCTTTCTACTTTGATTGGTGCCGACGGCACCATCTTCGCTAATCGAAATCCATGCCAAACATAAAGCAATATCTTTGTCAAAGGTCCAATTACGACCTCTAACATGCTCTTTTGCCATCTTGAAAATTCTGGAAATGAGAATAAATGGTATAAAGAAAATTGGAAGAATTGTAGGAGAAAAGTGAGTTTTGTGTGGATGTTTGAACAAATACATAGGTATTTATAGAGTTTTTGGTTGAATTTTAAGTTAAATAATTTTTTAATTATTCTAGCCGTTGGATTTAAATTTGGACCGTTAGATCTTTTTTTTTACCGTTATATTTAATTATATTTGATCTAAGCCGATATAAAACTAAAAAAAAAAAAAATTTGAACCTGCACCGTTGGATTAACCAACGGCCCATTTAACATCACCATTGGATTCTAAAAAGTAACCGTTAGGCTGCTTTTACCTTTGAAACTTGAGGGAACAGCCCCACGTGGGGTTGTTGTTTGGCAGATTGTCATCGCGCGTGCGTGCGTCCGGAAGTGGAAACTGGGCTTCACAGCCCCAGTTTCAATCTCAGTTGGTGGGGCCCATTTTGGTTTGTGGCTTAAATCTGGGTTGGTATTTGACTCTCAAATGAGTTTTAGGTTTTAGGTTAATTTTAGGTCATGGGTTGGAGTAGATTTTGGGTGGGGGGGGGAGGAAAGGGAAATTTTAGGTTTTAGATCATTGTTGGAGATGGTCTAAGGGTTAAAGTAAGTTCAGAATCTAAACTTTGAGTTTTGGGTTGGAGTAAGTCTTATACTTGTAGCCATGTGGCCTAACTAGCATTTTAAAACCCTAAACTTTCATTTCACGTTCTAAACTTGCACTGTAAAATCCTAAAATAAACAACACCAAAACTTAAAAACATAAACAATATATTAACATTCAAAAACATGATCAATTTCTTATAACACCTAATTTCAATTTAATTTATTAATAAACCGAACGTAAACAATATATAAGATTAAACAATTATGTGTGAAATGAGAAAATTATCTTTTTTTTCTTTTATCTAGCTTAAATCCCCCCATCCTTGAATATAAAGAATATCGTTTTTTAATAGGAAAATATAAATAGAATCGTTATACTTAATACAAGATAAAATTAAATGCGCTATTTACATTACGGTAAAATGAGGAACAATTTATATGACACGAGTTTATTACTATATTCGCTACAATGGCATTTTATGCTAATAACACAATGAGATGTGAAAAACAATAGCACATGTTCTTGTATTACTAGCACGTGACTTCACATGCCGGTGTATTTGTATCATGTAAATCCCTCCCGTCAAATTATTTATATATATTTTTTATTTTATTTTTGGTCAGTTATCTACTTTTTAGTAGGGGGTTTTCTAGAGAGGTTCCTCGGGGTTCCTCGCCTTATATTTAATTTTAAATAAAAAAATTTACAATAATTTTTTACACGATAAATGAATGTGATTAGAAAATTCTTAAAAGAGGATCTTGGGAGTTTCCAATGTTATGTGTCGGTGGCAACTGGCACGTACGGAAGGTGAGCGTAGACTCGTGCGAAACCACTTTCCTTCTATTGGCTTCACTGATGCTTTTTTCATAGAGAAGAATTCTCTACCCTCTTATTCTCATTCTCTTTTATCATCTCTTCTCATATATTACTTTTTATCTTATTATCTATATAAAAAATTAATATAAAATGTTGATATGGTTTAACCAAGACCGTTCAAATAGGAAGACATGAAATGATAAAGAGATTAGGTGGGTAGAGAATTCTCTTTCTTTTTTTATTCCAATTATTTATTTATTTTTTAATTCTCAAAAGCATCTAAAATTCCACTCACTCACCTCCTCACACTCTCTCTCTCTCTCTCTCTCTCTCTCTCTCTCTCTCTTCTCACTGTCACAGACTCGCCTTTCTCTCTCTCTCTCCTGTCTTGGGCATCACACAAATCTCAGACACTTGGGAGAGTCGGACAGAGTGGGTGCGGTGTCGTTTTGGCTTCTTGTGCCACATCTCTCCGTTCCAGCTCAATCTGCATTGCATTCGTCTCAGATCGATCGAAAACCAGAGCTGCTGCTTCATCTTTTAGCATTCATCGGTAAATCTCACTTCAATTTCACCTTAAGATTTTATCTTTTTTATTGCCATGTTAGCGAACTGCGTAGACTTGTAATTACTGGTGAATTGGAGGCTAATTGACTTGGTTTCAGCTGTTAGGACCAGCAGTGGACTCGGAATTTCATAAATTTCTAATTTCAGAAATCGAAAAATGGTTGATGGACCTTAAGATTTTGTGTTTGTGGATGTTCCTTCGTTGCTTTCGGATAATTTCGATGTATTATTCGATTTACTAATTGCATTTGTTGATTGACATTGTTTGATTAGCCCTTATTGCTATGAAGCTTGTTATACTAAATTACATATTGGGATAAATGTACATTTTCACCTATCGTGCTAAAATTTGTTCGATTTTGACGGTTTACTACATAGTTGTGCCGGTCAATATGCAAAGACTTCTGTTTTACCTTTAGTCAAATATGGGTTTTGTTTTGTTGGGTCGAAAACGAATTATCTTACACTGAATATAAATTTTAGGGTTGTGAAAGCCCTGAGTTAGTGAATGGAAGGTAGAATTGGGAGTACAAGGGTAGCTATGAAATGGTTAGTTTCAGAGCATGGGCCCTCATATCGAAAATATCTCTTTTGGTATTGGTTGTCTCTTTCCTTGATCTTTTTAAATGTAGTTGTATATTGTTTGCACTATCTGGTCCACTAATTCGTGAATGCAGTTTTACCTTATCACTTGCTGTGTGTGTCGTAATTTAATTGTACATGATGCCTCTATACTTCTTTCTCATTTTGCACCCCATTAATGGGAATTATATTGGTTAGAATGGAAGTTTAGTCGTGTTCAAACTGCTATCAAAATTAATTCATGTTCATTTTCAGGTTTCCCTTTTCTTTCATTTCCGGCTGCTGGATGTCAACGTCAACTAGAAGGAAGCATTGTAAACCTTGGCTTGCCAGATGAATTATTGTTTCTGTATTATGCTTGACCAGTGCCACTATGGGAATCTTTTTGGTGAAATGGAGAGGGCTATGGCTTCTTTACATTCTACTGCTTTATGTAACAATGACCGAAATCAGAGCTATTAGTCCTGATGGTAATTTGACATATTTTAGTTTTTCATTTGTCTTTTTGTTTGTTTTTTTGGTTTTGAGTTATCTTGAGGCATGTCAAATACTATAATTGATGAAAAAATATTGACTTATGAGTTATTAATTAAAGGAAAACCTTGGGGATACTGCATATCATTTTTGTTTTTTCTAATTTGCTGCTGTACTGATAATAGTCTATGTGAAGTTTGGTAGAAGACTAATTTGGTAAACACATAAATCTCTTCTGGAGATATCCATTTTCCTGGAGAGATGGATAAGATATTCTGACACGGTGGCATCTTATACCACCAGGAACGGTAAAAAATATTCAGTGATGCCAAGAATGTGTCGATGGTAGTGTTTACTTTTACTTAATTTGAAAAATTGGTTGTGCTATTGTATTTAAATTAAAAAAAGCTTGGATAGTTTGTAATCATATAATATACTGGCTAAGTATATTGTTTTATGTAGGACAAGTTATTTCTTATTACATTACGGCTTCTTTTTTTTTTTTTAAATAAAATATACTTATTACACAATAGCTATTGGTCAATCAAAGGAGATGACATGCCCTAATCTGATATAGACATTGATATATTTTGTAGGTGAGGCACTTCTAAGCTTCAGGACAGCAGTTGTTAGTTCAGATGGTATCCTTCTTCGATGGAGACCAGAAGATCCTGATCCATGTAATTGGAAAGGAGTGAAATGTGATAACAAAACAAAGAGAGTAATCTACTTGTGAGTGTTAATGCCAACAGTTCTGTTTAATTTCATCCGTTTCTATGCTTATCGAACAGAAACTTATTTCATGGGATTTATGTTTATGGTTTTGGTTTTTATTTTTCTCATATGGCAATGGTTGATATCTTGTATCTTATTTTTACAAGTTCTATTTTCATACTAAATGAACAAAAGATTATATAGTGAGATGAGCACATCTCTTGACGTTGGTTTTCCACAAGACAGACATAGTCTTGGTTATTGGGAATGTTTGATATTTTTGGGCTTGCCCTTGAAATTATCATCTTTTGTTGGAAATTAATGCTCTGTTCCTGGGGAATAACAAGAAATCTTTGAGTTTATGATTTTGGCTCTTACATGGAGTCATGGACTCTATGGTTGAAATGGAATAAGTAATGTTATTTTTTTTTCTCTATTATAATACAAATTGAGGAGGTGGAGAACTAAAAGTACCCCCCACAACAGATGTAAAATAAATGAAAAGTAGTACACGTAACTGTCTAATTGGGGAACGGATGTCCTACCTGTACAGTGGCAGTGAGGCATACACATTACTTAGCCCATTCGCGAATAGAAGATTGAGACCTAATTTATTGTTCTGATTTCATTTTGTTAGGGTTAATCATACTTAAACCTTCTGTCCTATTTAATAAAGATAGTGTCCGGTTGTTAATAAACTTTCATCCTTTCGATTTTAAAATTTAAAAAAGGTTACAGTGCATGAGTGTCATGTAAATTTTGTGCCTTACAGTTAGAAGTTTGTGTCTCATGGCTTATCCTGCAGGAGTCTTGCTGGTCACAAATTGAGTGGATTTATACCTCCAGACCTTGGGAAGCTAGATCAGCTTACGATTTTGTATGTGATGATAAGAGATATAATAGCAATTATGGTAATTGATGTATCTTTGGTATATCAAATTTTCTTCTCTCACTGATCATGTCTATGATGTATTATATTGTAGAGCTCTTCATAGCAACAACTTTTATGGGACTATTCCTTCAGACCTGGGGAATTGCACACAGTTGGAGAGAATGTAAGTCCACCTGCACGAATTGTTATCTTGCAATAAATGTTCTCATGTTCACTACTGAATGATGTTTGCATCTGTTTCTAAACTAGTTATGGTCGGAGATCATTATATAAAGTGATTTGGCAAAAATGTTGGTTTTACAGATACATTGTTCATCACTTTTTTTTTTGGGGTGTTTTTTCCCATCACTACTAAGAAGGTTATTCTTTTAGTTCTTTGGATATCATATGATGATGTGACTTGAAATTTCTGTTTGTTAATAATACCAGCAGTCCCCTTCAAGCTGGTGTATAAATTACTGATGCTCAATTGCCAATAGTTGAATGAAAAACTTTAGAGATGGCCTTTTGTGAGATTCTAGTATCTCCTGCCACGACAAACAGTGCATGAATAATTATTGCATCTAGTCTCTCCGTAATAAAATTCTGAACAAAATCAATAAATTTAGTCTTATCGTGATCAGTAGAATTGAGAGCTGTACTGATTGAAGGCTTGTTATCGGTATAAAATCTCACATGAACACCTTGTTTTAAATTCAATACTTTGATCAATATGTGTAATCAAATATTAATTCACAGGTCCCATAACCCATAGCCTGAAGTTTCTGCTTTTGCACATGATATCGCAACAATTGATTGTTTCACATTTTCTGGGTGGCAAGGTTCACAATGTAGGTGTAGTAGCTTAGAATAAAACTTCCATCACTAACAGAAACAACCTCCTCGGTGCCCGTGCATACTTCCACCTCTAAGCGTCCATTCTTAGAGAATATATATCCCTATCCAGGAGCATAGTTAAAATATCACATGTAAAACTACCTCTAGATGGGGAGAATGGGGTGCATGCATAAACTGCCGACTACACTCGCAACATAAGCAATATCAGATGATGTGTGCTAAAGGTAGATAAGTTTTACATCAAGCTTTTGATACCTTTCATCAACATATCTACCTTTTGTACACATATTCTGATATCGCTTATGTTGCAGAATGGACAGTTAAAGAAGAAGCATTTTTTTTATTATTTGGGAATATGCATTTTCCTGATCAGCGGAACTTCTATACAAAGACATTATTTAATTTCTCGCAACCCCTTGATCTCTCTCAGATTCATTAGCTAAGTGAGTTTTCATCATCTCTTAAGCATCATTCCCAACGATAATAGGACCCCAAAATACAATAGGTGCTGCAATTTTACCTTGAAAATGGAAATTTACAGTGTGATTAGTTTACCAATTTTCACACACTTGGCAGTTATTTGAAACACGTCAAACCAAGCACTAGAAAATTGTTTCAATTAAGGTTAATGGCTTTTTGGTAGTTGTTGGAAATGCTTTCAGGTGGATATCTTGTGCATGTAGTTCTTTCTATAATCTTTTATAATTTTCAATAAATTTTTGTTTCTGATATGTAATAGAAGATGCTTCTCACTTTCACATTTTAGTTTTTTTTTCCCCTTCATAGAATCTATCATATAACTTGTGCTTGAGTACAGCTTGACCAAGTTGTAGCATTCACAATTTGTTGACATTTGCAATAAAAGTCCGAAATAATTATATATATGTTATCTGTATTTCTTTTGAATTGGGCAATCCAGTTGCGGATTCAGCTATAAGTTGTAGCTTTTCATAATTTGTTTCCATTTGCTTACACTGCATTTCTTTTTTACTTATATAATCCTGTTTGTTTCGTGCTAAAGTTGCGTTTTTTTGGTTGCTGCAGATACTTGCAGGGTAATTACTTGAGTGGATTAATTCCAAGTGAATTGGGAAAGCTTTCAGACCTCCAATTCTTGTGAGTTGTTTCGAACATGCTGATAAACACTTTATTTTTTGTTTAACAAAAAATGTCTTTCAATTTCTTTTTTACTTCATTTACCTATTTTCTATGTTTGTTAAGTAATTTGTTTTCAGTCCAGATATGCATTCATTGTTGAACGTTTACGTAATTGTCTCATCATCACCAGATGTAAGAATGCCTCAGTAAATAAGTACTATACAATTAACATATATACGCATAAAAAAAATATCTATGCATAAAATTTTGAGTTTCATATTATACCATTGTAGTTAGGGAAGTCGGATTTAAAGATATTGTTTGTTTAATTTTTCTGATGCTTCTTCATTCCTAGTTTCTGCATTATGTAATATTGCTTTCAGTGCCATTATTTTATTTATTTCATTTGTCGAGGATACCCGTTATGATTTATCATGACAATAATGAATAACACCTACAGTCTCAATTTTCAATCTTTTACAGTTTTACACATTCTTGAACAGTAACTGCCATCTCTGACTTGCTTATAACATTTACAAATAAACTCTTCGCTTATATAGGTTGTATGGTATTCTGCCATTTACAAATGAAAAATTAAACCAATCAACCTCTATCCCCTTTCCAGCAAGTTGAAGTTCCACTTTCAAATCTATTGCACCCATTGTGCAATGCATCCTGTGATTAGTAACTTGGAGCTGAAAAAATATGGACAATATAGATAACGATTAGTATTTCTTTCCTATCTTTATAGATTAGATATTTGGCTGAGCTTCTGAATTGTTTGCTTATGTTGTGTTTATTTTTATTTTAGATGCTGTGGAACAGTCAAAATAGTTTTAAAACAATGAAGAAATAGCTTAATAGAATCAATATTATGGCATGAAGTGACTTTAATTTCTTACAAACTTTAATATCAGATGGTTCAAATTGTTACAATGTTAAAAAATTTGGAAAGCATGGATATTTCTTGTTAGGAGATGAAGTCCAATTTATCGTATCACATGGTTCATAATTCCAGTACATTTGGTGTTTCAATGTGGAAATCTTTACTATTCTATGTTTTATATTTACAGAGATATTTCAAGTAACTCTCTCAGTGGAAATATTCCTGTGTCACTAGGAAAGTTGGATAAGCTTGTTGCGCTGTGAGTTACCTCATTCTTTTCTGTAATGTTAAAACTTGACAATTGGTGTTTTATTTAACATAAAGTCGTGTTTTATTAATTAATGGAATCTTGAATTTCTGTAGCAATGTGTCAAACAATTTTCTGGTTGGACCAATACCATCTGATGGAGTGCTTACCAACTTACCCGAAAGCTCGTAAGTACTAATTATCTGGTAAAGTTTGTGTTTTCAGTAAATAGTGAAGCTATGTGATAGCTTACAATCCTAGCGATACAGGAATACAAGAAAAGCATTTCAAACTATTTATTATCCTATGTGTGCTTTATGTTTTGTCTTCCAGTATGATGAAAACAATTTGTAATGAAAACGTGAAATTTGTGAGGGACTATTCTCATGTCACTGCCTCTCCAAACACTCGTCTGTGAGACATAGCTTAAAATCTCTATCGTGCCCCGGTTAAAGACCTGTTATACCTATATTGAACTATGACAATGCAGTCCCCAAAGATTTTCATGCTCTTTAGAGGGTCATTGACAGATTTCCTTGCAGCTTTGATGGAAATCGTGGTTTGTGTGGGAAACAAATCAATCTGGTATGCAAAGATGTCCCTGGGGAATCACCAAATTCCCAATCTCCAAGCTCAGGTAAACCTTGGATGTGAAATAGATGGGTGCAATGTTTATGATTATCCAGAGATTCTTTAGAACGTGAAAGTCTTTAAATTATTTTGGTTTCACTATGACTTTTCAAGTTGGTGAAATCCTTGAAGAATTTTAAATTTTCCCTCTGGAGAATCCCAAGTGTTGACAACATTATGGTATTCATGCTTGGTATTCAAACTTTTGTAGAGCTAAATCAAGGTGGAAAGAAGAAATACTCTGGTAGGCTACTTATTAGTGCATCAGCAACTGTGGGTGCACTTCTTTTGGTGGCTCTCATGTGTTTCTGGGGTTGCTTTCTTTATAAAAAGTTTGGTAAACATGACAGTAAAGGTCTTGCAATGGATGTTAGGGAAGGTACTGGTTCTTAGCTATTTTCTGAGTTATGTTTGATTTAATTCAAACAAGTCTGAAGTTCCTAGTTTTTGAAATCTTGACTAACAGTCTTTTTGCTCCAGGCGCATCAATTGTAATGTTTCATGGGGATTTGCCGTACTCTTCTAAAGACATAATTAAGAAATTAGAGACTTTGAATGAGGAACATATTATTGGTGTTGGTGGCTTTGGAACAGTGTACAAGCTTGCAATGGATGACGACAAAGTATTTGCATTAAAAAGAATTGTAAAGATGAATGAGGGGTTTGATCGTTTTTTCGAGAGGGAGCTAGAAATTCTTGGAAGTATAAAACACCGGTACCTGGTGAATTTGAGGGGCTATTGCAATTCTCCAACATCAAAGTTGTTAATCTATGATTTCCTATCTGGTGGAAGCCTTGATGAAGCTCTTCATGGTTAGATGCTCTTCTCTTGTGTTTATTTTCATTGCCTTAACATGTTACATGTGCATCTGGTTTATATGAATAATAAAGTTATGTATAAATGAAGTAAATTAATGTAGGACCGGGAAGAGAAGGTTAAAGAGACTAAATGAAAGAGAGAGAAACTGTAGAAATGAAACTTACTGTCTGCAAGAATTCAACACTTAAAACCGTCCAACAAAAGGACAGTGGTGCCTTTGAGGTTATACAAATCCAAATAAAAATACTTGACAAAGTTAACCATAAATGTGTTAAACAACCTAAACTCACCATGCGAGGTTGTTGCACATAAGTGTTTAGATGCACATCATGATCTCCATCAAAGAGGTACACAAGGCATTGATCAGGCTCAGTATTTGGTATGCATATGTATTTTTCTTGATAGAAGTTTTTAAAATATTTGACGACACATATACATATTTGGTACATAGAAATAAACCCTTGGAACAATAATATTCCATAATCCCTTGAACAGAAAGATCTGAGCAGCTTGATTGGGATGCACGATTGAATATTATTATGGGAGCAGCAAAAGGCCTGGCCTACTTGCATCATGATTGCTCACCTAGGATCATACATCGAGACATAAAGTCAAGCAACATTTTACTTGATGGAAATCTTGAGGCACGAGTATCTGACTTTGGACTAGCCAAACTGTTGGAGGACGAAGAATCTCACATTACGACAATTGTTGCAGGAACATTTGGTTATCTGGCTCCAGGTAAGAAAAAATTACTATAGTTTCCTGTTTTGTTACTTTGAGCTCACAGCTCTCTGAATGTGGATATTGTTCTATAAATATGGAAAATGATTTCTGCACACCCCTGTGGTACTGTTCACTGATTCTCCCTTGATTTGTTCAATCCGAAGGCCAGGAATAAAAGGGGTGTGTATTGGGAGAAAAAAGGTGTGGAAATCGCTTCCCTAAATTACATTGACCAGATCCATGGTAGTTGGAGATAAATGATTGGTCTACAGCAGATTTTTGCAAAATACCATAACAATTTATATGCACAAATATTAGGGGGGGTCTAGACTTGTAAATTTTGGGGGTAGTAAGTGAAACAGCAATGTACTAAACTAAACAAACAAATGGAGCAGCATAGCAGCCTAAAAGAGCCTGACCACTGGTAGAATAACAAACAACACAATTGAACTCCCAAGTAAAAATTTAATATGATTGAATGCGTTTGCATGCATTTACAACTGCTTTGGTTATAGGTGTCTGATAATGTATGGGCTTCCAAATCAGCTTCGTGTAATAGATGACATATGTTTTTGTTACATAAAGTGAGGAAAACTTGGTGTCGTTCTGCTGGCAGTTATTTCTGAAATGGTGCCATATAATTTAAGTTTATAACTTTATATACATTTTGAGTTATATGACATCATTGGCAGAGTATATGCAAAGTGGTAGAGCAACTGAAAAGACTGATGTTTATAGTTTCGGGGTCCTGGTGCTTGAAGTATTAAGTGGAAAACGACCCACAGATGCGTCATTCATTGAGAAGGGCTTCAACATTGTTGGCTGGGTATGGTTTTTGTCAAAAATAATTATGCTTTTTGATATGAAGCTAAATCATTAAGTGTAAATCATGTTCTATAAAGTTGACTGCAGTATGGCCATGTTTGTTTTAGCATACATAAAATTTAGTTGGAAATCGATTACGCCTCTTGTTGAGTATAATAGGTGGCAGAAAAAGAAAAATCTCTGGTATTGATTGATTGTTCCAGTCAAGTAAATATTCTGTGAAATTTCTTGATGATATCATTTTTGGAATGGGTATCGTTTATTCAAGTTAATTTTTCTAATTTATCTGTAATTCCCTTTGCAGTTAAATTTTCTGGTCACAGAAAATAGGCAAAGAGAAATTGTTGATCCACAGTGTGAGGGGGTGCAAGCTGAAAGCCTTGATGCCCTGCTCTCTGTCGCCATTCAATGCGTTTCTTCAACTTCAGAAGATCGACCCTCTATGCACAGGGTCGTCCAGCTGCTTGAATCCGAAGTCATGACACCGTGCCCTAGTGATTTCTACGATTCCAGCTGACTAAAAAGGCTTTGTGCAGATGGCAAGTCAGAATTTGCGTTTACATCACTGTTGTATCAGATATGCAGTGCAAGCGGCGGAAGGGACGAAGTCTCTGTGAAGGTATATCAGCCATTTCATTCATTCTTTCTTTCTGCAGATAAATGGCATTTAGAAGATGGCATGCACGTCTGTAGTCAACATTGCCTCTGTTCAAACATCATTTTGCGCAGTTGCGTTCAAACTTTTGTAATTCCTCCTGGCTTCTGTTCCCCAAAGTTAAGTGTATATGATATTATACAATAGGTCCCTCTGCAAATGATTCTTGTTTATGCCATTTTTGTAAAATATGATTACGTGGCAATAAGTCGGATGTAGTAGCGCCCGTGCCCACTGTTTTCGCTGTTGTTTGTAATATTATGTTTCCCACTTCATCATTTTAATTCTTAATCTTCCTTAATCTTGATTTTAATGTTTTGGCAGAAAGGATTCAATTTCTTGTACTTTGTCTTCCTAGTACGATTTGCAATGCCTATTCTGTTTGCGCTCGATTGCCAATCGACGGGTCAATTTATTGTTGCTGTAAACAAATAAAGTCTAGAGATGGGGTTCCGACGAACATGGAATGATGTCACTGCCTATACCGTAAAAGAGATTCTTTCTTGCAACCAATTATTGTCTAACTAGCGTTGCTGGCTAGTCAATTGTTGTCACGTAATCATAAAATTGACCGGACGTAGTTGCCTCGCGCAATCTATTTTGTCGAGCTTATTTTGAGTTCTAATTCTTTGAATTCACGTTTCTTAGAGAGTTTTTTTTGTTAAAATGGTTCCTGAGATTGTCATAACTCTTAGTTCTTGGGATTTATAATTGATAGAAGTAGGCCCTAAGATGGTCCGTTGTCAATCATTTTGGTCCTGTGAAAAATCTTAGTTAAATTAAAAAAACTACTAGTTCTAAATAAGTTGTTTTGACAAAAATACCTTCAATTTAACGGAAATTTCTCGTAGAAGAATCAAAATGACTAATGGTGGACAATACGCGGACCATTTTGATCGACTTTAAATCTTAAAGATCAAAGTGAGAAGTTATGCATTTCTTCGAGTGAACGACAGTTATGGTTTTACCATCAATAATTCTCTGCCGACCCTTTCTCGCCTGGCGGCGCCGACATGTCACAAAATCATACGTTCTTTCCCCCTCTCCAAACGTTGCAGCTGGTTTTTTATGTATAGTGCAGCGTGTTGATTTTTGATCTCCCAATAGTGCAGGAATTTGAAAATAAGATTATGATTGGATTAGAAATTGGGAAAAATATTATACTTCATATTTATGTATAATATTGAAAACTTTGATAAAGATCTCTTGGTTTTGTACGATTGGAAATTTTGTAGTCAATTTTTTGCCTGATCCACCCAACCGCCTTAAGATCTTAGATTCAGAAGATCTTACATTCAAATTTCGTAAATAACGAGTTCAAAACCAATTTATTCCTCACCTTAATGTAAATATCTTCATTTTGGGTTCAAATCTCGTACATGACAACTAAAATACCAGTGGTGTTTTCACTTGTATAAATCTAATAGAAGCTTCAGGAGAAATTCCTCTAGAAATTAACCATGTTTTGTAACATATATTTTGTACTTCTTTTCCAAAACCAAAGGATATAATTCTGGAGTGATCATACAAAAACCAAACATATCGAAGGCCAAACTTGATTGACAAAAGTACGATACATCCAGATTTAGAGCAATATTACACCAAAATTACTTGAACTACAAATATAATATTTTTCTTCACACCGTGTGTAGATGAAATGGTCGAGCATCCCGTCCAAACGGACGAACTATTATACAGAACGAAAAATTGGTATATACAGTTTATACCAAGTTTATATAGGTGTGGGGAACATGTGAATGAACTTTGCTTACATTAACTTGTCGGATGGCGCTTTCTCCTGCCTCTCTATATATGCAGATGGAAACCATCCGGCCTTGCCGTTGCTTTCTCCTTCAGACCATCCATTAGAGCCGACCTATAACATTCATATGAAGTAAAATTAAAATCGCCACCAAATGAAAAACGGAGAAGGATTACGCTTTAATTTCTTTTGTTTGAATGTGTAAGATGCAAACGAAAAAAGAAATGTTTTATACAAGGGCTTTACTGTAAGAGAACAAAATAGTTCATTCATTCCTCCTATTAAACATTCAAACAACGTTAGGAAAATGATCCCGCCTAGTTATCCAAAATTTCCTTCCTTTCCTAACTGTTATTGAAAATATAATAACTCAGAGAGAGCAGCAGTGTACACTTTGGTTGTCTGAAAAAATAAAAAGTCTACATTTATGCAGAAGCCATAGCAGAAATCAAATTCGGGGTGGTTCACCTACCTGACGAACTACAACATAATCATCAACGGACAGATTCAACTCTCCATCCGCTTGAGCCTCAAACGGGTGAATAGCCTGGAAAATGATGCAAAAAAGGATTAACACCTAGAAAAGCTCCGAATTTCAGGCTATTTTAGATTGGTTTCAGTGAGATATAAGGCTATTGTAAAATTGTAATTGGTGTCAATATGACAACGGTCAATGGCCTTTTCTATACAGATGAAAACTCATATATCGACATTTTCGCTGCTTCCTATAAAAACACTAGTTTTAGAATCCATGTTGTTTTCAGAAGTGAAGAATATGGGAACCAACTAGCTAAAAATAAATTCAGAAACTGTGATATAAATGAACGAGCGCAGCAGTTTCTTTTGGTTGTTGGGAATAGAATTTCAAGGATTTCAAAGGCCTTACTCTTGCAATGAAGAAAGTGCCATCTTGGTTAAGTTGTCCATGATCATCAGATATATTTGAAATCGTATCATGATGCACTTTCACTGATTGCGATGAGAATTCATTTGGTGGGTTCTCCAGAATCATCTGAACATTTAAAATAATACAGTATTCACAAACTTTTATGTATATAAAAAAGATAAGAAACCATCCATAATGATAAAAATATACAGAGCCAGGCACGTAGAGCAAACCTCAGAATGTAGCTTGTCTAAAATAGTAAGAGCATGTTGATGAAATGATCTCTCCGCATCAACCTGCAAAACATACTTTCATTAGAGTCAAATGCAGAAATGTAAACTCGGAAGCAAAATTCAATACGCTACCAGTTTCTAGCCAAATTTAGTATGGTAAGCTATTACAGTAATGACAAACCCACCAAGTACTACAGACACCATAACTTTACAGTTATATATTTAGATACACAATAGCAAGAGTTTCTGATCCTGGAGCTTTGAAAATTATTATTTACCCTGGAAGTGGTGAGCCCCTTTCTCATTTAATCTACTCACCCTCTCCAGCTAAAGCAAAGCATTTAAACTCCAATTAGAAGCTCTTACACTCATATGCGCATTTGTTGTAAGCACTTTCAATAGAAGCAGATTGAGATTTCTATTAAGTGCTTCCTAGAAATGCAACATGGAAGTGCTTCTTGAGAAGCACCTCTCATGACAGCAGAAAAACGTGCTTCTATGACTCATAAAGCACCTCTAACAATCTCAGTCAAACAACATCAAAAATGCATTTCAATACGCAAACGTTTTTAACGCTCCTACAAGCATTTCCCAAAGGTCCTCTGTTGACAGATGAGCCACTATTATTTCCGTTGTGCTCAATATCAAGGAATCATATATATACCAGTTCTTCAGAATTCTACATATAAAATGATGCTATGGTAGAGAAACTACATACAACATTTCATAATATCAGCAGTACAGAATGATCGAAACTTAAAATTTTATGGGGTTGAAATAGCAAAAGTGGTAAAAACTAGGAAATATTAAATGAAAAGACAGTAAGATGCAAAAACGACTTTCATTAGTTACTCAAGTGCATCAAACATTTATAAACCAAAATTCCCCAAGTGAAAGTTCTTGGTTCAGGAGGAGTCAAGGGGAATAAAATTAGGGTTTACGGTTTAATGCTTTAGGATTTCATTATTACTACTGTTTGTTTATTCGACAAGGTTATTAGCCTATATAAGTTGACCCTATTTTCACATCTCTTTTGTAGCACTAATTTCACCATGCACAAAAACATGACCCTAGATGGAAACAGGAAAAAAAACAACTTATGATCCAATCTGCTAAACCTTAATGCATTTATTTTAATAATTGTAAGGGGCTGCAGTAACAGATGCTAAACAAGAATACCATTTGTTTAAAGGAACTTGGGGTTTAAGAACAATATCACCCATAGGTCACCACCAAGAAAAGAGTAAGCATCCCACTCAAATGCATCACCAGTCCTCTTCTTCTTGTGAGGTCCTATGGTACATAAAAAGAAGGAAGTCATATGATTGAAAAAATTAGGTGATCAAAACATGGAATAGGCAATAGAAAGTTTGGATAATGAAGAAAGGCAAGTATTGCGACATAGATGGAAGGAATAACTGGTCTAGTGATCATATGAGAAGTTTATTGAAAAGAATTTGAAGTGAAAGAAGAAAGACTAATCAAATGTGGATTCACTTATTTACCAAAAACCAAAGAACGTGGCTTCACTCATAATATACTATGAGAAAAAATCAATCATGTAGGGTTGCTATGAAACGGAAAAACAGGCAGCATCACCTCCACAAGAAACTGCAGGAAACACTTATAAGTTCTAACCAGTTACTACGTCCTTCGATCATGAGAGAAACTGATAATGAGTCACTCAAAAGGATAACTACGAAGGGTTGCCCATAACTTACAACATATGCTAAACCTTTTGGGATCGTTAAAGATATATGCCTATCCCAAAATTTGTGAAACATTGACTTCCCTTATGCAGTTTGGATGACCCACCGACAGCTTGTATGAAATTAAATCCGGTGTACATCCAAAATACCAGTATACCCCTCCATCCTACAGACTAACCAATTATAAACAAAGTACACATTTCCAACAGATGATATAGACAAGCCAGAGTCATTGAGACGATCAGAAAAGATAGATGAAATCATCACTGCCTGCCATGAAGGACCTTTGCTACAAGACAGGTATACAACTTCAAATTTTATAAAATAATACAAAGAAGTATATGCGCTAAACCAGTAGTTACACAGCCCTGTCACCGGATAATCATTTAAACAAACTTTCACATTCACAAAAGCCTTCAGGAAAATCCTGAATTTATCCGCCCTTATTTGTACATTAGTATCCAATGTTAGGAATCTGTATATATTTATATATCCTATGAGTATGGTCTAAAACTCTCTACCATTGGCCCAGACTGTTTTTAAGGTTTGGACGTCCCACCAAACAACTGGCTAAGAGAGCATAACAACCCAGGGAAAAATTTCCATCATTTCGACAACTCATTGATGACTTCAAGTTATCATGTTGAGAAGTAGACTACATAAATCATACAAACATGTGTTGTGTTGAGATATGTACATATAAACTTAATATACGTGCATATATTCCTTGGTTAATTAACCGAACAATTGGATGCGTTACACTCTAGATGCCAACATTGTTCAAACACCCATTAAAACTGTTCAAATGCATGACCAATTTTTACCAAAACACGCTGTTTAGGACTTGGAATTTAGATTTTAAGTCTTGAGTGTCTATGGCTTCAAACCAATTTGTTAAAGAAAACTAAAATGCATAACTAATATCTAGTGGGCAATGATTCTGCTGTAATGCAATGATGTTGAGAGAGAGAGAGAGAGAGAGAGAGAGAGATTCTTTTAATTAAACATTGTTGTTTCTAACACCAAACAAACTTTTATTGGCCTGAAAACAGAAGTACATCTTTGTCGCCCTAAGTTGCAATTACATAAAGCTCATAAACGAGACTATAATAACAAAAGCAACACAAGACCAAAGACAAAAGAAGGAACCTATTATCAACAAAACATTGACAGCACCAACAAAATGCAATTAATGAAGATACTGTTCCTCTTTTTGTGTCATTTCCTACTATAGTGGTATAACACTACTCTTGACTGAGTGATGTAATGCTAAACTATACAATATGGAAACACAAGGAAGGTTCTTTACAATAAAGCACTAGGTTTAAGTAATTCTCCTATGCATACCCTAGAAGATCATGGCTTGTACATCCTTATTTATGTACATTTCCACATATAACACTTGTATCTTCAATCTTCCATGCATCCATGACATCCTAAAATATGAGAAGATCATGGCTTGCACATCCTCAATGCATATTAGACTAATCAAACTGAAGGAGCATTGATCACATAAAATCTTCAGGGAACAAACAGAACAGTACTACTTTAATAAGCCTTTCATATAGACAACAATCAACTTTATATCCATCAATGGCAACCAAGATATAATAGAATAGCCATGTGCAGTCCTCACAAACAATTAGTAACAATACCATAGTACGAAGCTTATGAAAAGTCATCTGTTGCTGCTGATCCTCAACCGACAACATTGCGGCAGTTGCTTCTTTCCCAAGTGCCACTGTAGAAGATTTAAGCTCTGTCAATCTTACTTCTGCATTTTGAAGCTTCACAGAACTCTCTGCAGATACCGAAGTGGATTTCAATCGACGCCTCAATACGTCAGCCACCTAATCAGAAGATAAATATTTACTTCCTATGAGAATGCATGTTCCTGAACCATTAGATACACCAATTGACATTAAGATATACCTGGGCTTCCACCTCCTGTCGCAATTTATCATAACGATGAGTCAAGTGACGAGCATCCTCCAAAGGAGCCCCTGCTATTTGTGCCCGTAAAGGTTCAGCAACCTACAAATTTTAATCCTGTGACATGATTATAAACCAAAAAGAACGGAAAAAAAACTCAAAAATTTATTATAGATTTTGGTAAAGTATAGCATTATAAAAGCTCTTTTATGATTCAATTAACAAAGGCTCTTGTCATTGTGCAAAAGGCCTTGGGATACTACCACCTTCACTAAGGTTAAGTGGGTTAGTGAGATGTGACAGTGCTACATCCTGACCTGTATCCCATATGCTTAATGCCTCCCAAACGGCAAAACAAACTCATTGCTTATATAGCTAACTGAATTCACCCCATTAAAAGAAGTCACAGATCATATTTCCCAACAAAATGGTTTATTGTTTTCAAAAACACACATATACACACACAAGTTACATGTGCATGTTGCTTTTGGTTCAAAATGTTGATTTCAATGGCCATATCTTGAGATTTCTCTTTATAAACATTTAAGAAAAAAAAATTACATTGAAGAAATTACCTGCTCACAAAGGACCTTAAGAAAAGCCTCTCTCTCATCTTCAATTGAATTATATGAAGTACCAAAGTATTCAGAACCCCTTGCTAGATGAGTGCTAGCGCTTTGATTTTCAGCTCCATATTTGCAGCAATTTTCAGCTAACTTTCTCACTAAATTATCAAGATAAAATTTTATCTACTAGACTTGTATAAGGAATCAAATGCAGCAAATTAGAGAGAGCAGTCACCTATTTCCATTTGTTTTGAGCTGGTAGAAATAAAAGCCTCAACCCCCCGAACAACACTCCGCTGAAAATGCTGGGTAACATAATTTATTGTTAGAATTAGAATTAGAATTTGGTAAGAGTAATTCAATAGTGATGTCTAATAGAATGAACCAGTAGTTAAATGATAGCCAACTTGATGACGGCATGATAAATGTACCTTCGTAGCCCTTGTAGAATTATACAAATCCTGAAGTTTTTGGTGGCACATAAGTTCCTCTTCATCAATCATAACAGCTTCATTACCTAAATTTCCCAACCGTTTCAACACAGCCTGCAACGTATTCAAAACAGCAAGTTTAAAACAATGAATTTATTTACAATTCTACATTGTCAATATAATTGAATCAATCACGGCTTCTTTCGTCTTCCACTAAGTCATCAAAGGACTAAGAAACTAGTACATAATTTTTTACTACTGAAATGGTAACTAAAGTCCTCCTGAACTAAGCAGGAACCGTAGGTTCTAGTGATAAGTTCATAAGTCCTATTTTATGTAATCTTGAGATCACTTCCCTGGGGGTTTAAATTGTGATTAATTTTTAACGCAAACCAGCAAGATACACACTATGAACGGTTCAATGGACATTGTAAATGAAGTTGGAATTGAATTCAATCACTGTCTTTGTCCATCTTACATTAAATCATCAAAGGAGTAAGAGAAAACAGTACAAATTCATTTTTCATACTGAAAGAGCAACGGTAACTAAAATCCTGAACTCAGCAGGAACTCAGGTTCTAAATTCTAATGAATTTCTATATATCCTAACTTGTTTTAAAAAGAAAAGTGTGTTTTAATATTAGAACTTGAGAAGGCATGATAACACAACATAAGGATAATCTACAGCAGAATCCAGCATGATATACGCAACATAAGGATCAATCTACAACGTGGCCCTCCCAGAGTCCTTAAGCATCATGATGAGTTTCACTGAGGAATTAATCTAAAGACAAACAAACTTTCTAAAAGCTCCAGCAGAGCAAATGATTCCTCTATCTTTTCTTTGTTCAAATTTCTTCTAAATCTTAAATCCCAATTCCCCAAAACAAAAGGTGTAAGAACAAACCCTGCTATGACCAATTTATGAAATCTGGATGGTCTATCAAGCCATGGAAAAATTGACGCCAAAGGTTGATCTCCAAACTACGGATCCTCCCAACATCTGATCCTTTCCCCATTACACAGTAACAGGGAAGTACCATACCATTGATCACCTACAAATATATATCAGGTGACACATTTCCAAATTCTTAACAAAAAACTTTTATGGACATGGATGGGCACCAATTGAAACAATTTGAATTTCCTGTAGATTAAGATTGTATCTTTTGTTCAACTTATATCAATTATGATTTACACAAAACAAAAGTATAGTATCTTATCGAAAAGATTTGCACTTTTTTGTTTGCTGAACAAAATGGGTTTTCTTTATGTAATCGAAAAGATTAGGACTTTTCGTTAACATTGGTGATATTGTCATTATATGCAGATATGTATACATATATATATGTATGTATGTAATGAATTCTGAACAAAATTATACACAAGAATCCAAAAAAAATTCCTAAAAATAACCGGTAAAGCAAACACAAACCTCCAAGTAAGAGAAAGACTGGAAAAACTTTGTATGTATGAATAAACACAAAAAATTCCAAACTTGGAATAACTTCAATCTAATCAACCATTAATAAAAAACAAGGAGAAGCACTTAATCTGGAAGGAGAAAGCAAACCAGCTGTTGCTTTGCGACTTGCTCCCTGAGCTTAGTGGCTTGCTTCCGTATGGACTCCATACAGTAAAACCCTAGCTCTAGAGCTAGATATCGATTGATCTTGGCGGTCAGAGACAAAGCTGTTAGTCTTTTACTGACGACACAGACAAGAAAGAAAACGAATCTATAAAGAAGTGTGACGGGTGTCACTGTCTGGTTTCGGGAGTCAATAAGTCACCGAATTGAACAATTTCACTTTTATTTAAGCCTTATTAAATGAAGAAGTGAACTGTAAATTTAGTCATTAAATTATTATATAAGTGAAAATTAGATTTTTGAATATTTTTTCAAAAAAAGCAATCGTTGAATTATAAAAATTTATCAATTACATCATTATTCATTTTTTCGTCAATTTAAGTCAGGCTACGTGCATATGATACATATTGGAGAGCAGATTTGTATTTTCATAGAGAATAGTGTATAGAGTTAACTTTAGAAAGTAAATTAGACGTTAAATTCGCAACCTATATGAAATGTCAAATGACTTGTAGGCAAGAAAATGACGGTATTATACTCTCAAATGTGCTAAGCGACTTAAGTTGACGAAAAAATTAGATAAAATATTTTTTAATATAATAATATAGATGAAATTAGCAGTTTTTAATGAATTTAGGGATTTATTTTTCTAAAAAATAATCCAGGAACCTAATTTTCACCAAGGTGATAAGTTAGAGACTAAATTGAGAATTCACCCTAAATAAAATACCCTCAAAACTGTCATTTTGTCTCAATTTACTTCTTGAAACTAGTCTTATCTCACTTTACCTCTTGAAACTAACATGTTCAACTCCTTTGCTCTCACTTCACCACATTCAGTTGAAAAACTGTTAAATTCAATGGTATTTTAGATATTTTATTTTTTACCCTCAGCCTATGCGCTAAATCAATCTCAATTTCAATTTTAACAACTCTAATTCAAACCCATGAGTTTTAGAGCTTTTTAAAAGTAAATTATTCAATCAACAGAAAAAATTGGAGTAACAATGTGAAACTTTTGTTTGCAAACTGTGCACATTTGATTTAAATGATTTTTTTTGGTTTGGAAAGAATTTTGGACATGATAGCTTAATGGATTCTTTGAGATTATATTTTGTGTAACTGATATGAGATCATGTTTTTTATGGGTGAAACTTGTGGTTAGGTCAATTTCGATTAGAAAGATATCTTGAAATAGGTTGATCGTGTTTCCTTTTTGTTGTAATAGTATTTTTCAAGTGCAAAGTTTCTAGCCAATACATGGATGCCTTGCAAGTGAAATTACTCTAAGAACAAAAATGTAACCCTTATTTTGATTGATATAATGTTTTGATGCTTTGAATTTTCTATTGATTGAATAATTTATTTTTAAAATGGCCAAAGCTCATGACCTTGAATTAGAATTGTCAAAAATAGAATTAAGATTGGTCTAATGTGTAGGCTAGAGGTAAATAGATGTGTACAAAATAAAATGTCTAAGATACACTTGAATTTAACAGTTCTTTAACAGAAGATTTGAAAATGACAGTTTCATAGAGCAAAGTAAGACAAAACTAGTTTTATGAGGTAAATTGAGACTAAATGGTTGTTCATTGTTCCATGAGGCATTTCAATTAATAAGCCTTTATTTAATATAAGACCAATTTTTCTTTAATAAGTAGTGCAAAAAATGATTTTTACACCTGTTTTTTCATTTACATTGTAAGCTGAAAATTTTTAGTCCAATAATTGAAGAGGTATTCATCAATTTCCCCCCTGAACTTGTGACCATTAGCCAATTTCCCCCCTCAACTTTAATTTTGGCCAATTTCCCCCCTCAACTCTCATAATTAGTCAATTTCACCCCTTAACTTTAATTTAGCCAATTTCCCCCCTCAACTCTTATAATTAGTCAATTTGCACCCTACTGTTAATTTTTTAATTTGATCATAATTAAACAAGTGTGTGTAAGAAACCAAATAAGATGTATGTTAATCATGTTCCTATATCTTTATCCTATTACAAATAGATTAAAATTTAGAATTTTACAATTTATCATAGATTGTATTATTAGTCATAATAAATCAGTATGGAGTAATTTTATTTGATTTTTGACCATACAAAATTGATAACGAAAAGGATTGATGTGTAAATTTTTGTATGTGAATACAATTTTCTTTATAAAAGTGAAAGCTAAGTTCAAGTAAATTGTGGAGAATCGAGCTTTAGTGAAAAAATGGCTAGTTTATTCATAATTTTTGACTCCTTATTAAGAATAACTCATTTTATTGAAATAGGGATGATCCATGAGTTTAGGATTATTATTTCTTTTTGTTATTATTTCTTCTTCTACATGCTTTAAACCTGATTCATAACTTTTTCTTATAATCAACCCATATCAGATACTAACTGTATTATGTTTTGTACATTTTACCCTATATTATGCAGGTGAGTTTATGTTAATTTTAGTACTTTGTTGGAAGTTATTAGAAAGATTGAAAATTAAGAAAAGAATAGATGGAAAATTTAAAAAAAAAAAAAAATTAACAGTAGGGTGCAAATTGACTAATTTTGAGAGTTGAGGGGGGAAATTGGCCAGATTAAAGTTGAGGGGGGAAATTGGCCAACGGTCACAAGTTCAGGGGGAAATTGATGAATACCTCATAATTGAATGTAACACATGAGTCTTATGAGTTTGGTTATGAACAAAAGAGTATTAATACACTTATTATTTATTAGTATCATCTCAAGGTTCCACCAACACATGAGAGATGAACAAATAGATGGTAAAGATAACAATTTTTTGTGAAAAGAATATTGGGCCACAACTATCAAACTCAAACTAAAATAACATTAACGTTGTATGAATTAGACTGAGCGAACCTAATTTCTATATATCAGACTCAAACTCTACGCAATTACGTTGAAAATGGTCTTTAAAATTTTCTTTTGCTTTATTTGATTCATATGCAATATCAAAAATGGATTCGAGCGCATCTCCAAAGCTGTAGTGTCAAATGCTAATTATACAAAGCTAAAATTCAGCATCTCAGCTATATATGGAACAAGCAAACAAAGGTGAGGCTCGACATGAAATTGCATGCTGCTTCGCCCTGATCAATCGGCCCCGCAACATTTAGCAACTCAAAAAATCGTTCGCAAATTTTACACCGTATAGACAAGTAAATGAATTTTTTGCAATAGAACGGCTTGGGTTGGGAGAGGATTGAGTTGCCAAATTCTAAATTTTAGGTTTTGGCATCTGCCATTGGAGATGGTATGAGTGCGAGAAAAAGGATCTGTGAAAATCATTTCCCACTTTAACTTCGTTTAGGTCGGCCCTTAATGTAGGTGAGCCACCTGAAAATTAGCAACCAAAATCAAGTAGACTCATGAACTCCATGTGGATACAGTCGAGAATAAGTCACACATTGATGAAATGAAGGATCTTTCATGGATTTATAAGTAAGTTGAGCTGTAACGCCCCGACCTGAAAATTTTATTACGGAAACTAATTTCAGTGATAGGCCAAAATTAAACTCTTGTTTAACTAACTACCATTAATCACAATTCTTTATTTACATTTCTTAATCACTCGCAAAATCTATAACCAGAATTTACTTACCAAAAACATAAGATTAAATTTTCAAATAATTCACCAAAAAATCCCTTCTTCAATCAAATGCCCAACAAAAGATTAATCTCAATTATTTAAGGCTGCATCTAACCCCTGTTAGACTGCCTACGTACCCTTGATGCCGGATCAAGCCTTTCGTAGTTCACCATTCATTCTTTTATCCATTTCCGAAAATATTCTAGTAATGGAATATTTAACATTAGCTTTCACAATCGAATTACCTCAAATGGGTACCAATTATGGATTTAAAATATCAAATTTTGCATGAAAAGGCAGCGTTGGCCCACTGGCCACGCACTGCCGCATGTGGCGGTTTCTAACGAACGGAAACCCAATTTTTAGACTAACTCTAAATATTACCAAATTTTACAAGCATGTAGATTTCAATGAGAGGAACAACTTTCATACATGGGCTGAAGTCTAATTTGGCTGGGAAACACCTGAAATTAGCCTTGGACCGCCGAAAACACTAGAAATAGGTGTTCTCAATTCGACCTCAAAACAAACTCCAATGCCCCAACCATTTCTTGGGCTTTTTTCCTGACACTGAGGGAAGACTATTGGTGGTGGTGATGGTTGGAGTTAGCTTTAGGTTTTGACGAATCGAAGCCAAACCCGTCGCACCCACTGTGCAATTTCTCTTAAATTTCATTTGTTTTTCGGGTGGAAATGGGAGAGAGAACGACTGAGTTCGAAGTAAAGATCATTTTGGCACCGGTCCCGTCGTCAACGATGGCTAAAATCGAAAAATACGGTCGGGTCGGGTCGGCGGGTCGAAGGGGATCCAGTTCCCTCCTCCCCTTTCTTCCTCCTTTCCCCTCCTTTCCTCTCCTTTTTCTCCCCTTCCCCATTTGGTCCCCCCTCCCCCTTCTTCTCTCCCGCATCTCTCCTTTTCCTCCTCTCTCATGCTACCATTTGGTAGCTTCTAGACTCCTCTTTTTTATTTTTTTTATTTTTTTAATTTTATTTTTATAGAACCACTAATTTCTTCATTTCAACTCCGATTCACAAACGGTTTTTGCCCACGCTTTCATAGGGTCGAGCTCTATCCAATTATATCAAGAAATACGATAAAATATATGAGGATAAAATACATCCTAGTAAAATTACATTTAGTCAACAAGGGGCATTTTCGTCTTTTGCTAACTCAATACCAAAATATGTGGGTGATAAGTTTACAAACTCTATCACACCTCTCACTTTCACTCTCAATAAAATTGGACAAAGAAATAGAGAAAGGAGGGAAGCAACAAGCTTTGACAAACAAGGCACTTGGACTTTGATATATGAAAAGAGAGTTTACAAAAAATCAATAGCTTACAAGCTAAAAATGAGAATGGGAAATGGGATTTGGATGATATGCTCTAAGGCTTAGCAAGATGGCCTATTTATACAAAAACTGAAAAAATAAACAATCCAACAATATATATAATGAATGATGGTGTTCCACATCTTTACACCCTTTCAAAACACATGCAGCAACTTTGATAGTTGGCATACACATGCATTGCATCATGGTAGGTTGTAATACCTTCCTTTCGGCTAACACATGAAGGTACACTGCTGT